TTGAGGGCACGATTTATCGTTTTCGGAAGTAACCCAAAAGCTTTTAAAGCAAGAGCGGCTTTTACAAACGAGTGAAAAGTGGAACATTTACTGTCTAGGCTATCTAGCCTATCAAGAATCTAGATCTAGAGATCTCTAGATCTAGATCTATTATCTAGATTCACTTCCACAATGGCCGTCATGTAGACAAACGGGACTGCAGTTGTACTGAAGTGCCGTAACTTGTGTTTTAAATAGATCTAAATCTAGATCTAGATTCTAGATATTGGTACATCTACTGCAAAATGTGTAGGTTTTAGATCTAGATCTAGGCTTCCTCGCATCTGGAGACAGTTTCTTTGGTTTATACCTATATAGATCTAAGTAAGTGCTCATCTCCTAGTCAAGATCTAGATCTAGATTCTAGAAAACAATGCATGCTGCACTTTTAGATCTAGATTTCTAGATCTAGGTTCTTTGGCACAGATATGGTGAGTTGTATATAAATCTCTCTTGCTCTTTCTTTTTCTCTCCATTTTTCTCTCTCGTTCTCTCTTCCTCGTCTCCTTCGTTGTTGTTATCGAATAATTTATTAAGCTAGATCTACTTGCATTTAATACTCCAAAATTGTCTAGAATTTTAATGTTGTTATTGCTTCTCATAATCGTCTTTGTTGTTGTCTACCCCTTCTCCATATTAATATAGTTTCTGTTGCTGCTGCTCTTGCTCCTGATGTTGTTGTCGTCATCGTTGTTATTATTTGTTCTCTCTCTCTCTCACACACTCTCTCTCTCTCCCTCACTTCCTCTCCCCCCCCCCCTCTCTCTCTCTCTCTCTCTCTCTCTCTCTCTCTCTCTCTCTCAATCAATTTCTTCTATCTTCATTCCTTGTTATTCTTCTTTTTCCACTTTTCTCTCATTCTCCTCGCTCATACGTCCTTCCTAAACAGTCTGTCTGAGAAGTCTACTCTGAGGTTCAAATAAGGCCCCCCCCCCCAAAATAATTTTTCTTTGAAAAAGATTTTGCGCCCCCCGACCCTTCCCCCCCCGGGGTTGAAGAAGAGCCCGGCCCCCCCCCCTAGGGTTAAAGTTCCTCCCCCCCGAGGGGAGAGCGCACAAGGGGGAAAGAAAAACTCCCGGCCCTTGGGAACCTTGGAAAGGATTCCGCATAGAAAAGGGGAAATATTTAGACCTTGATTGATTTATATTATAATGTTCCTAGCAACAAACATGTATAAAAAATAAGTACCAGTACTCTTTCGTTTATTAAAATGTGCCCCCCCCCCCCCCTTTAAAAAAAAAAAATCTTGTAAATGTTATGTCCCCTACCTTTTATTAATATCAGGTAAATGTGCCCCCCCCCCCCCCCCCCACCTTTCTTTATATTTGGAGGGGGCGGGGGGGAAACCGGCCCCCCCCAATTTTTGGGGGAGGGGAGGTATTGGAA